ATCCTGGAGCAACCCATCATCATCCTCAGCATCCCATCTGCATCCTCAGAGCATCCTGGAACACCCCATCATCATCCTCAGCATCCCATCTGCATCCACCTCGGAGCACCCCATGCTCCTCGGGCCATCCCACCACATCCACCTTGGCCATCCCATCCACTTTGGAGCCTCCCAAAGTCCCTCGGCGTCCTGGGAACCCCCCACCCCTCCTGCCACACCCGTGCCCGCTGTCACCCCTCCTTTCCTGCCACCAGCTCCCAGCCCATGGCCCGAGCAGACAAAGACCCCCCCCAAACCCTCTCCACCCCCCCAGGGGTGCAGCTCTGCAGCGCAAGGGGCGTCCCACCCTCCCTCCCCGCATCCCACAGGGTGAAACCGGGAGCGCCGTGGGGAAACTGAGGCACCGTGGGGCTGGGTGAAGGTGGAGGGCTGGCACAGGGGGCGGGGCAAGGGGTGGCGGGCACATGCATGTCCGGCGGCTCCCCGGGTGCCAGCTACAGGCTGAGGTCCACCACCACATGCCGGTACACCAGCGTGTTGGCCTTGAAGCTGGGCGCCAGCAGCAGCTGCACGTCGGCCGCCGGCACCGCCCGGAACGCCCGCGGCGCCTGCACCGACAGCTCCTGGAACTTGGCGAACTTCTGCTTCTCCTCTTCCCACAGGTACACGTGGGTGAAGGAGAAGTCGCTGCCCAGCGCCAGGTACTGCCGCTGGCCCACGGCGAAGGGCTGCATCACCATGGAGCCGCGGGACGGCAGCGTCTGCACCTCCACGAAGCGCTGCCCCTCCCAGCGCACCACCTTGGAGTCGCCGATGTAGCGGCTGAGGCAGAGGAACTGCTCCCGCTTGGCCCTGAAGTGCTTGACCATCTGCACGTCCAGCATCTCGCCCACCTCGCCCTGCGGCACGAATTGCTTCTGCGCCCGGCTCCACTGGTAGATGACGGGGGCCTGGGAGCTGCTGGAGATGATCAGCCGGGGTTTGCCGTCGTTCTCCACGTATTCCACGTCGGTGTCGCGGTGCCAGGCGTGGAGGGCTTGGTGGGAGTAGAAGCCGTTCTGGTTGAGGCGGTAGAGGCTGGTGGAGCCCGCCTTGGAGCTGTCGGCGATGACGAAGTACCAGTCGCCCTCGATCTGGAAGGCCTCGATGTCGTTGGGCTTGCGGATCTTCTGGCTGTCGATGTCCTGGATCTTGATGAACTTGTCCACGGCCGTGTCCCAGCGGTAGATGTAGGAGCCACCGAAGAGCTGCGCCACCACCACGTAGAGCTGCTCCTGCGCCACGATGGGCTTGCAGTGCACCGCCGAGTGAGCTGGCGGCAGAACCACGTCACACCAGGGCCAGGCCTGTCCCAGGGCACCCCAAACAGGGTCCCAGCCCAGGAGGGGACCCCCGGCCCGGTTCCTCACCGGGGATGCGGTCGAAGTCGCGGAGTTTGCGCTCCACGTAGTCCCACTTGAGGATGGAGCAGCTGCTGGCGCTGGGCTGTGCCAGGGCCACGTACAGGTCACTGGCGTAGGTGAAGGGCTCGGCCGACACCGCCTGGAAGGGCAGCACCTGGTGCATCACGAAATCTGGAGCAGGGAGAGGTGGCAGTGAAGGTCTGAACGCCCAGGAGCGAGCTGATGTGTGACAGGTGACAGGTGACAGCGGTGCCTCACCCGTGGTGATGCACTGGAAGTCACCGAGCGCCAGGTCCCGGATCCGCTGTCCCTCGAACTGCCCGGGGCTGCTGCAGAAGACGGCGGGGACCGTGGTGTTGGTGCTCTCCAGCCACTCCACCAGCCACTTGATCTTGCAGTCACAGGCCAGCGTGTTGCCACGGAGGTCCCTGCCAGGGATGGCACCGAGTCACCCCCAGCACCCACCGGGATGTCACCTCTCCCCAGCTCAGTGTGCTGGGGATCCCTGCCAGGGATGGCACCGAGTCACCCCCAGCACCCACCGGGATGTCACCTCTCCCCAGCTCAGTGTCCCAAGGGTCCCTACGAGGGATGGCACTGAGTCACCCCCAGCACACAGCACCCTGCCCAAGTGCCAGCCCCTGGGATGTCACCCTCTCCCCAGCCCGCTGTCCCCAGCGCTGTGGCAGCCTCACAGGTCACTCAGGATGTCCAGCGGCTTGAAGAGGTCCCGTGGCAGCGTCTGCAGGTTGTTGTTGGCCAAGGACCTGGGGACAAGAAGGGCTGTGGAGGTGACGCATCCCTGAAGGGACAGGGCCACCCCCACAGTGTCCCCCCGGTGCTCACAGGTGTGTCAGGGACTTGAGCCCGCGGAAAGTGGCTTTGGAAAGCGCCTGGATGTCGTTGTTCTCAATGAACCTGGAAGGGGAGCAGACAGTGACGGGGCCATCCCGAGGGTCCCCGTGTGCCCTCCCTGTGCCCTCCCTGTCCCCGTGTCACACACAGGTACTGCAGGTGCGAGAGCCCGGCGAAGGCGTTGTCCCCGATCAGCGTGAACTTGTTGGAGTTGAGGAGGCTGCAAGGAGAGAGGGGAGGGGTCAGCGCCGGGCCGGGCAGGGTGGGCACCAGGGGGGCACCGGGATGGCCGGCGGGGGGCACGGGAGACCTACAGGAACTGCAGGGAGGGGATGTGGGCGAAAGCCGCCTCCCGGATCTCCGTGAAGGCCGCGTTCACCATGGTCCTGCGGGAGAGACGGAGCTGCAGGAGAGGGGACAGCTCTGCCACCCCGTGTCCCCCAGCACGGCTCTGTCCCCTGCTGCCTGCCAGGGCAGCCCGTGACGGGTGCTGGCGTTGGCAGAGGGACCCCAGCAGCCACCCTGCCCGGTGTGGGGACACGGAGGAGACGAGGTGCAGGGGGCTGGCACCCACCCCGGGCTGCCCCTGCCCTGCGGCAGCCCCTGGCCCGGGGCCACGTGCACACACACGTGTGTGAACACACACAAACAGGTATGTAAGCACACAGAGGCAGGTGTAACACACACGCAGCCCCTGGCCCGGGGCCACGTGCACACACACGTGTGTGAACACACGTGAATGGGTGTGCAAGCACACACACGTGTGTGAACACACACAAACAGGTATGTAAGCACACAGAGACAGGTGTAACACACACAAACGGGTGTGCAAGCACACACAGACAGGCGTAACACACATGAGCAGGTGTGTAAGCACACACAGACCGGTGTAACACACATGAACAGGCGTGTAAGCACACACAGACAGGTGGAACACACACAAATGGGTGTGCAAGTACACAGAGACAGGTGTAACACACACACAAACGGGGATGTAAGCACACACAGACAGGTGTAACACACACAAATGGGTGTGCAAGCACACAGAGACAGGTGTAACACACACACAAACGGGTATGTAAGCACACACAGACAGGTGTAACACACATGAGCAGGTATGTAAGCACACAGATACAGGTGTAACACACACAAACGGGTGTGTAAGCACACACAGACAGGTGTAACACACACAAACGGGTGTGCAAGCACACGCACACAGTGTAAACACCCGCACCTGCCACACATCCCCGTGCCAGGCTCCGGGGCACAGCCCTGTCCCCAGGGACCCTCCACCATGACCCCCCTCCGTCGTGTCCCCTTGAGGCTGTGGTCGCCAAGGTCACAGCCGTTCCCCTCGGGGTTCTGGTCCCCAAGGTCGCGGCGGGGACAGGCTGCAGCCCTGCTCTGTCTGGCACTGATGGATGGCTGCGTGTGCCAGCACCGCAGGACACAGGGACATGTCCCCGGCTGTCCCCAGCCTCCTCCTTCCCCCGGAGCCCCCCGCTCTGACCGTACCCCGCCCTGCCACGCGTTCCCCCCCGATGCAGCACAGCAGGGGTGTCCCTGTCCCTCCAGGACCGCCCGCAGCCCCTGCCAGCCCTGCACTCCTGCGATGTGACGCTGTCCCCATCGCTGTCCCCACCCCGGCTACTCACAGCGAGATGACCTCGGGGGGCAGGTTTTTGGGCACGGCCTTGGAGTCCACGCAAAATGCCGTGTCCCGAGTGCAGGAGCAGGTCGGGGGGCAAGGGGGAGGCCGGGGGGGCCGCCGCCCCTCCGCCGGCAGCCAGAGCCAGGCCACGGCGAGGAGGAGGAGGAGGAGGAGGCGAGCGGGGAGCTGGTCCCTCGGCATCCTCCTCCCGCGCCGCAGCTCCATCACACCCTGGCCTGATCCCTGCTTGATCCCGGGAGCTGCTCCAACGCCGCTGTGCCCGAGAGCTGCGGAAAAACCTTTTCTCCTCTCTTTTTTTTTTATTCCCCCGGGGATCTCAGGGTGGAGGAGAAGCGGCGGAGGCTGCGGGTGCCTGACCCGCGGCTCTGCAGCACACCATGCCCGCTGCTGCGGGAGGGACGGAGGGAGGGAGAGAAGGAGGGAAGGAAGGAGGGAGGGAGGGAGGGATGCTGCTGAGTGACAGCGCCAGCATCCCCGTGCACGCGTGTCCGTGCGCGCGTGTCCCCGGCAGCGACCAACCTCGGGGTTCCACGCGGGGGGGGGGGCGGCCACCGGGCCCCCGGGGGGGGGGGGGGGCGGCCACCGGCGGCTCTTGGGGGGCGCAGAATTGGGGGACACCACAGGGGTGACGCCCCCGCAGCGGCTGCCCCAGCTCGGCGCTGCAGCGCTGCCCCCCCGCTCCTTCCCCTGCCCGCGGTGGCCGCAGCGCTCTGGGCACCCATCCACGCCGCCCCGGGCACCCGGCCGTCCCAGGCACCCATCTCTCCCATGCCAGGCGTCCATCTGCGCCGTCCCTGGCACGGAGCCCGCGGGAACAATGAGTCCAGCCAGCTCCTTCCCGGCCCCGGGGGGGCTCACACAGCTGCCCGTGCACAGCCAGGGGTGCAGCCCCCCCCGGGGACGTGCTGGGGGTGCTGGGGCCCCTCCTGCCACAGCCCCGCGCCGGGTGTGGAGGGCGGGCACTGCCCGCTGTTTGCCTTGGCACCCCCACCGCTGCAGGGCAAATGCCACGGAAGGGCCCTCGGAGGTTTTGTGTCCCCTCCCTGGCTCTTCTGCGGGCTCAGCAAACAGCACAAGTGGCACTCGGCAGCTGGAGTGGCCCCAGCCTTCCCCGGCCACCCGGGATCCCATAAATGCCCCCGGGCCCGGGCTGGCAAAGGAACAGGAGCACACGGAGAGATGGAGGACAGCTCTAAAGAGGCGCTGATGGAGGAGGCACCTCCGGTAAGGAGCACCCACCACCCACCCTGGGCGTGGGGCTGAGCCCCCGCTGCCATCCCCGGCTCTCCCGTGTCCCCAACAGAGGTACACGGAGTCCCCGCGCCTGCCCTGCATCCCCCACGAGCTCAAGAGCCTCTTGCTGATGGTGGCGCTGGTGGTGGTGGCCCTCGTGGTGGTCAACGTCACCTTCCTCCTGCTGGGGCTGCACCTCAGCGAGTCACACGCCGAGACGGTGAGGGCAGCAAGGGACCCCGGTGCCACCGGCCCCGGGAGGGGCTTGGGACGGCACCGCGGCTTTGTAGGACGGGGCGCAGCCCCCGCGGATCTCCCTGAGCCCCCTCCCCCTGGCAGGTGCTGCGAATGAGCATCCACGGGCTGGACGGCGAGGGGAGCCCCCAGAAGCTCGCCATGAGCCAGAAGGGAAGGAGCGGCACGTTCGCGGTGCGGGACGGGCTCAACGGCTCGGCCGCGGTGGTGTACGACTACAGCAAGGTGTGCGGGGACACGGGGACCGAGCCACGGCCGCAGGACCGCGCCGAGCTGAGCCGGCTCTGTCTGCCAACAGCTGCTGGTCGGCTACAGGTCCTGGCGTCACCGCGCCTGCTACATCACCCGCGTGGACAAGGACAACTTCCCGGGGCTGGACGCTGTCACCGAGACCTTCCAGCGCCGGCAGGTGAGCGGTGACCACCCCGCCGCGGCACCGGGCTCAGCACAGCCCAGCCCCTGGGAAATGTGGGGCTGGGGGTTTGTCCCCTCTGGAGGGGACACTGTGGCTGCCGAGGGCGGCTGCTCTGCTCCTCTCTGTGTCCTGCAGGATGAGGACGTTGGGGACAAGGCCGTGCCTCTGGCTGACCGCTCCATCCTGGGCACCACCATCAACATCCTCTGCAGCGCCGTCCCCGTGTTCTGGGCGTAGCAGCAGCTCCAGCGGGATGGGACAGCGAGACGGGGATGTCGCTGTCCCCCACTGTCCCCTCCCAGGCGGGATAGCCGGGAATCTCTCCTCGTCCTCCTCGTCCCCATCCCGGGGACAGCCACCCCGCCACGGGGGTGCTCCTCCCACTGTCGCTTGGCACCGCGGCTTTCCCGCTGCTCTGATCCTAAGAAAAGTGGGATTTGCTTTGGGATTTGCTTCTGTCTACAAAGTAAAGCCTGTGCCCCCGCCTCCAAGTGTGCTCTTGCCCTTCCTGGGTGCTGGGGACAGGGACACGGTGTCTCAGGGATGTCCCCTTGTGGGGTGCAGGGTGGGGAGGGGAATCCCTTATGTTGGGAGGGATCAAACACGGGGGGACAGCAGCAGAAATGAACACGATGCTCCCATTGTCCCCACCTGTGTCCCCCCAGTGTCCCTATCTGTGTCCCCCCAGTCTGGAGGATGGAGGGTGAGGAGGAAGGAGCCACCTCTGCACTTCCTCCCTTCAGGAAATGTTCCCAACCCTGTCCCCTCCTCATGCAGGTGGGGACAGAGGGACTGTGCCACGTCCCCAGTGGGAACCAGGGGTTACCACAGACACCACAATCCCCTTGCTCCATCTCCAGCTCCCCCACATTCCCATCCCCATCGTCCCCCTTTTCCCAACCTTTCCAGCCCCTCTTGCCCCCTCATCAGCCGGGAGCAACCTTTGGGGCCATTTCCAAGTGCTGCACTGAAAAACAGAGGAGCAGCATGGCTGGGAGGGGAAAAAGAGACCCCTGGAAGTTGATTTGATCTTTCCAGAGCTGTAAACTCAGTATTGTCCCCAAAGTCACTGACACAGGCAGAGAGCAGGGTCACAGCTCTAGAGGGTGACACTTTGCTGGGAACAGGAGGGACATTGCAGGTTTCCATGTGCTGACTCAGAGCCAGCAGCTCTGCTTCCCAAAAAACCCTGACCGTGATAAGGAGCTGGGTCAAGAGGGTGCCATGGGCCAGGAAGGTGATAAGGGCTCCCATGGGGACAGAACAAACAGCCAGGAGCCACTCAAGGGACTCTCGTAGCCCTTGACTCCCTGGGAAAAGAGGCAGCATTCACCCCCCAGTCGGTATTGGGGGTGTTGGGGGTCTCACGGGTGGTTGGAGGGGTCCCAGGTATAGGAGGGGCTCATGGATGAACAAACCAAGGCTCAGCAGTGTCCCCCTCCCACCTGAGGGGGACATTCCAGAGCTGGGACCCCCTCACCCCAAATGAGTCCACACTGTGGGCACCTCTGCCAGCACCCAAGGCCACCAGCAGCGGTGTCCGAGCAGCCCCAGGAGCAATGAGGGACAGGGACACTCCCCACGCCATGGTGACCCCGTTCCCACCCCATCCCTGAGGATTACAGGAAATTTTTAATGTCCTGTTTGTTCCTTGCCACATCAAGCAGCTCCAGGTGCCCGAGGTGGCAAAGGGACACGAGCCAGCTCTGGCCTCGGGCGCAGCCACAGCCGGATGCTCCACCCTGGAGGGTTTGCTTTGGCCCTGCCACCTCGCTCCTGGGCAGCAGAGAAGTCCCTGAGCCTGGGGACAAGGGTCCTTGACCCAATGGCCTCGGAGCCTCTCGAGCAGCAGGTTCCCAGGGGGATCCAGCTGGGAGTGGGCGCTCAGCAAACACCAGTGGAGTGGGTCACATGCCAGGGCCTGGCTGCACCCCAGGGCCACCAAACCCTTCACAGGGTCCCCACCCCAGTGCCCCAGTATAAAGTTCCCAGTCCCTGCAGCCAGGCTGGGCTGGGAATGGGAGCAGGAGGAGGAGGAGGAGGAGGAGGCAGCCATGGAGAGCAGCATGAAGCAGGTGGTGCTTGAAGAGGAGGTGAGTCCCTGCTGGGTGGCACTGCCACACCGCGGTGTCCCTGCAGCCAGCTGGGCACGGGGCTTTGCCCAGTTTATCCCAGCAAGGCACCAGTGCCCAGGATGGGGGTTTGGACCGTGACATGCTGCATTCCCAGTGCCCAGGGGCAGCGGGATGCCAGCTGCAATCCCACCCCCAACCTCCCGCACCCCCCATTTCCCACCTCCACCCCCTGAGCCCTTCTCCCCCCACTTTCCCGCACCCCCAGGACTCGGGGAACGGCTGCTGCTGCCCAGGCTGCTGCTTGCCCTGCGCCACGTGCTGCGCCAAATGCTGCACCAAATGCAGCTTGTGCTGCGCCAAATGCTGCTGCCTGCCCAAGTGCTGCCAGTGCCCCAAGTGCCCCAAGTGTCCCAAGTGTCCCGGCTGCGCCAGCTGCTCCGGCTGCCTCAAGAAGTCGCTGTGCTTCGTCCCTCGGCTGCTCTGCTACCTGCCTCGCAAGCTCCTGAGCTGCGGCCGCCTCCGCTGCCTGCTCATCGTGGTGGTCGTGCTGGTGCTGCTGGTGGTCGTCATCGCCGGCGCCCTGCTGATGTGGCTGAGCGTGGAGCAGCGCCACGCCGACACCGTGAGTGGGCACGCCCATGCCCGGGGGAAGGGAAGGGGCTGCTGCAGGTTCTGAGATCCCCCCTCGGCCCCCTCCAGGTCCTGCGGGGCGGGATGTGGGCCGGACCGGCCTGGGAAGAGGACGCGGCCACTTTCTACCTGGACAGCGGGGACGGGAACGCGGCCACGGTCATCTACGACTACAAGAATGTGAGTGGGGGTCTCTGGGGACACGGGGAGGGGGAGATGGGATGGAGCTGACCGGGGTTTGGCTTCCAACAGCTGCTGGTGAGCTACAGAGCCCGGCTGCACCGCGCCTGCTACATGACCCGCGTGGACAAGGACAACATCCCGGGGCTGGACACCGTGGTCGAGACCTTCCAGCGCCGGCAGGTGAGGACCTGGCTGGGCCGGGGGGGTCAGGGGGGCTCAGCGCCTTGTGCAGCCCCTCCCTGAGGGGAGGAATGATGAAGATGATGATGAAGAATGTCCTTTGTCCCCCTCTGTGCAGGCTGAGGACAGGATCTCCATGCCCCTGGCTGACCGCTCCCTCCTGGGCACCACGGCGGGCATCCTGTGCAGCCTCCTCCCTGTGTACTGGGCTTAGCCCGCGGGGTGGGCAGGGGGCTGCGGGACCCCCGCCCACCCGGCAGCACCCCCACAGCGCCAGCTTTGCCTCGCAGCACCCCCGACAGGCACAGCCCCACTGGGAGCATCGGCAGCTCCTCTGCGGCCGCCCCCGCGCCCTCCACCCAAATTTTGGGGTGCGGGGGGTGAGGAGGGGTCAGGGGGTCGGCGCTGGGGGGGCTGCGGGCGCGGGGCCGGGGGCGGAGCGGGGGTGTCTGCGCTGTGCCGGGGGACAGCTGGTTTGTCACTTAAGTCTTCTCAGCTTCGCCAAACTCAAGTGCAAAAATGAGCTTAAAAAAACATGACATTTAAAGAAAACACAATTCTCCGTTCCAGTTCTTCACTCCCGCCAGCTCCCGCCTTCCCCCTGCCTTAAAAACGCCTTGAGGGGCTCCGGGCTTGGATTTTGGGGGAATTTCTGTCGAAGCCACGGCCTGGGGCTCATTGAGGATCCCCCTGAGCGTGGCTGCATGACCTGAGCTGGCCCAGCCAGGCTGGCCTGAAAAATGGGTCTGTGCTCTGCCAGGCTGGAATAAAGGAGAAGGGCAGGAACCAGGTCTGGGAGCTGTTCCTGGAGACAGCCTGTGCCGAAAGGACAGCGATCATTAGCACTGGGGTGATTTAGGACAGGCTGCTGGGATCAGGAGTTATCAGGATCAGGCATGATAAGAATTGGGAGTTATTGGGATTTTCAGGATGAGGGAGCTGGTGTTGGGATCAGGCGTTGTTAGACTGAGGTGTTATTAGGACAGGAATGCTGGTACTATTAGGGTCAGGAATTATTAGGATCAGGAATCATTAGGATCAGGATGTTGGTGTTATTAGGATCAGGAGTTGTTAGGAATGGGATATTGGTGATATTGGGATCAGGCACTATTAGGACTGAGATGCTGGCTCTGTCAGGATCAGGAGTTACAAGGACCATGATTTTACTGGGATCAGGCTTTATTAGGATGGGATTCTGGCATTATTAGGACCAGGAGTTATTGGGATCAGGACATTGGCCTGGGGCTGAGACAAACACGGAGCAGCCCATCCAATCCCCCGGGAACGGGAGCCCACCAGCCCCAAAGTGAGGACCACCAGCCCCCCACTGCCCCCACACCTGGCTCCAGCCCCCTTTCCCCCTCCTGGCACCAGGGAAGCTGCTCGTGCTGGGAAAGCACAACTGCAGCTGGCTGGGAGCTGGGGCAGCCATCCAGGGCCTCCTGCAGCTCCGGGGTGTCCCCTCCCAAACCCTCCCTGACCCCCAGACTCCCTCAGCCTCCCCCCAAGGCCGGAGCAGATGGAGGAGGTGACAGAAAGTTGGCAGGATCAGGTCCTTGTGCAATAATTCCGGTATCCCGATTTTCAGAGGTTTGCGGCACAGTGGGGACCTCGGGGGTCCTGGCAGGGGAAATCAGAGTAAAACCCCCCAGCAGGTGCTGGGAGTGGGGGATCCCATCCCTGGGAAGAGGAGCAGCCACCCTCCAGCCCTCTGGGTTGTGTCACAGTGGCACAGGGGACAATCCCGTGCCAGTCTCTCATGCACAGGGGTCTCCCTGGGGGTCACCGATCCTGGTTCCATGGGGGAAAGGCACTGGGAACACCCCGGGCTGCTCTTTGCTGTGGAGGTTTTGGGAATAAAAGAGCTGAGGATGGCATCCAGGAATGCTCCTGGCAGCTCCCAGTGTCCCCCACCCTCACGGCTGTGCCCGTGCCAGGCCCTGGCATCGCCCACCTGACATTCCAGGATGCCAAGGAAGCCCTGCAGGGCGGGCAGGCTGAGGTAGGAGCGCTGGAATCCGCGTGCCCGTGCCAGGTGACATCCACCCAGGGCTCCTGGCATGAAGACATTCCCATCCTGACTCTCAAGCCGACTGGGATGCCCTGCTCCTCTTCTAGGTAGGGCTGCAGCTTGCAATGCTGGTGGCCGGCGGCCTCCAGGCTCCCAGGAGCCGAGCCTGCCGTGGGAAAGCCGGGCTGGGAAAAGCCTCCTCGGCGAGGCTCAGCTCCCCCGGAGCGCTCCGTGAGAAAGGGGCGATCTCAGGGTGGAAAGCAACGGCTGGACCCTGACATCATGGATTGACATCATCCAGGGACTCGGCCCGCAAACATCCTCCCCAGCCCGAGAGCAGGATGGAAACAAGAAGTATTCCAAAGGCTTGTTTGTCTTCCTGGGAGAAGGGCTTGAGGTGGGAGTGGAATCCAGCAGTTGCTCCCCAAATTCCCGTCCCTGGGATGCGCTGTGTGACGTGAGGGCGGGGGCAGAGCGGGGACACGGAGTCGCTTTTGCAGGGTTTATTTATCTGCTTTGAGGAGGAAAGTATTGCTGGATGTGGGTTTTGCAATAAGGGAGAAGGAGGAAAACATCCTGGGACGATCCTGATGGGGGAGGAAAAGGACACAGAGATAAGGGTGAAGGAAACTCCGTCACTCCTGGTGGGAACCAGGCAGGCCCTGGATGCAGGGGATCCCCAAAAGTGGAGGGAAAGGGGATTTGGGGGCTTGGTGGGCAGGGAAGGAGCAGAGCCTGGATGCTGGTGTCACCCAGCGTGTCCCTGTGGAGGTCATCAGACACAGGAAACACTTAAAATCCTAAAATGTGAAGTGGATGCAAGTCTGGGAGCGCGGTGAGAGGAGAGGGATGGGTTTGCAGGAGCAGCACGGGATGAGCCAGATCCTCCTGCAGCATTGCCAGGCTGGAATGTCCCAGGCAGGGCCACTGCAAGGGGACAGGGCTGTGTCTCTGTGCCTTGGCCACCCTTGGGGGCTCCCTCTGCTCCCCAAACACTCACTGAGGGGCTGACCCGGCTCCTGGGGTGCTCATCCTGACCCCAGGGTGCTCACACACCCTCTTCTGAGTGGTCATCCCACTTTTGGGGTGCTTAGCCACCCTTCCTGGAATGCTTGCCCAGCTTTTGGGTTCTCATCCACTCGCCCAGCCATCCTGGGGTGCTCATCCTGCTCCTGGGGTGCTCATCCTGCTCCCAGGCTTCTTCCCCACCATTCCCAGGGTGCTTTTCCAGACCCTGGGCTGCTCATCCTGATCCCAGGCTGCTCACACACCCTCCTCTGAGTGGTCATCGCACTTTTGGGGTGCTTGGTCACCCTTCCTGGGGTGCTGGCCCAGATTTTGGGGTGTTCCTCCATTCACCCAACCTTCCTGGGGTGCTCATCCTGCTCCTGGGTGCTCATCCTGCTCCCAGGCTCCTTCCCCACCATTCCCAGCTCCTGGGCTGCTCGTTCAGTCCTTGGGGTGCTGGCCAGGATTTGGGGTGCAGGATGAGGGTGAAGGAGCAGACATGCAGGATTGGGAGTCCAGGACTGGGAAATGTGGGGAATGTGTGTGGGAATTTGGGGTGCCAGAGCAGGACACGGGGTGTGGGACCGGGTAATTTGGGGGTGCTGGGGACACGGGGTGGCCCTGAAGGGGACAGAGGGGTGCTGGGAGACGTGGAATTTGTGTCCCGGGAATACTGGGGGGCCGGAACTGATCCAGGGCTTGCGGGGGGGCCTGGATCGGAACCGGGGAATGCGAGACGGGACCGAGGGGTGGCACGAACGAGGCTGGGGACACCGGATGGGACCGGAGTGAGGCAGGAGAAATACCGGGAGAGACGGAGCGGCGGGTGAGGATCGGTTCTGGGGGGCGGGGGGTGGGTTTGGGACCGGGAAAAGCGAAGCAGGACCGGGGGAGACCAGGATCGGTACCGGGGAAAATGGAACGGGAGCGGGGCGGCTCGGCAGGATCGGTACCGGGGATATGGGACGGTACCGGAGAGAGCACGAGCGGTACCGGGGGACACGAAACGGGACCCGGGGGTGCAGGACGGGACGGGACGGGACAGCCCCGGCCCGGGGGCTGCGGAGGGGCAGGAGCGGAGGCTGCAGGCCAGGTCCTCGTCCCCGTCCCCGCCGCCCCCCCGGCGCTGGCCCCGCTCCGAGCCCTGCGCCCGGGGCTGCAGGGGCCGAGCTCCGCGCTTGAACCCGCCCCCGCCAGATCTCATTTCCCTAAAAAAAAAAAAAAGAGAAAAAGAAAAAAAAAAAAAAAAGAAGAAGGGAGAGAGAGCGAGGGGAAAAAAAAAAAAAAAGCGAAGAAGGGAAGGAAAGAGGGAAGAGAGGAAAAAAAAACGCCGGCCGGAGCCATGGCCGGGCTGCGGAGCTGCGGGCTGCTCCTCTGCCTGCTCCTGGCCCGGGCCCTGCGCTTTCCGGACTATTCCTACGTGCTGGAGGAAGAGGAGGAGGACGAGGAGCCCCTGGACTACAAGGACCCCTGCAAAGCCGGTAGGAGCGGGGGGATGCGCGGCGGGGGGCGGGCGGGCGGACAAAGGGGAGCGCGGGGTCCGCGGGAGCGCGGCTGCGGGGATGAGTGCGGGGATGAGTGCGGGGATGAGTGCGGGGATGAGTGCGGGGGCTGCGAGCGTGCCCCGCGCGCACTTCGGGGCTCCGCACGGCGGAACTTGGCTCCGCGGCGCCGGGCCCGGGGAGTCCCGGCCGCCCGGGCTCGGGGGGAGCGGAGGAGCAGCGGCCGGTCCCGCTCCGGGATGCAGCTGGTTGTACTTAGGGTGAGGAGCAGGGGGGGCTGGCCCCGCGCCCCGCTTTCTCTCCTCGCTCTTGGCTGCACTGGGAGCTGTCAAAGGCGGCGGGGAGCCCCCAGCCCCCCAACCCAGCCCCCCTCTCCATCCCACGCCACCGCAGAGCCGGACCCATCCGGCACCCCCCATCCCTGAACCCACACTCTGCACCCCCTGGCTTTCGCCCTCTCTCCCCGCCCGCAGCCAAAGCTCGTCCCCCCTGGGACACCCGGGAGGTGCCGCCACGGGCTGGGGTCCCTCGGTGCAGGGACAAGGGGTTCGGAGCTGCTCCCCAGGTTTTGGGAGGGCTGGGAGCAAACTGGCTGCTGCGGGGGGCAAATCCCGGTCTCCCAGTGCGCGCTAAAGGGCATGGAAGGATTTGGGGAGGGGGGAAACTGAGGCACGGGAGGGCCGTGCAGGGCTGAGCCGGGCGCGAGGGCCGGGGTCTGGCGGGGGATCACGTTTCTCTGTACTGGCATTGTCTGCGCTGCAAGGCGGCTGTTGATATAACTCTGTCTACACGAGGGCTTTTTTCTGGCCAAAAATCCTTCCCTTCCTGCCCTCCCGGGCTGAAACAGCAAGGCTTGCAAAACCGTCCGGGCAGAGCCGGCTGGAGCCTTCCCTCCGCTCCCGCTTCCTCCAGCTGAGCGGCGGAGCCCAGGCTTCTCCCGATTCATGAGTTTTACCGCTGTCCCCTCCTCGCCCCGCTCCTGTGCACCCCGAGACCCCCCCCCGCCTCCCGGGGCCGCATGTTGCCCCCTC